GAAGATATGATGTACCACAGTCTAGATGATGTGGTTGAGGTCCCAAGTCACTGTGCATGAGAATATGGATGGGTAAACCAAGGCACAAGCTGGACAGCTCAAGACTCTGTGGATCTGTGTGTGTGTGTGTGTGTGTGTGTATGTGTGTGTGTGTGTAGGATAGAAGGTAAAATACATAGGTAGGTAGGCACAGTGTACTGGGATAGGGTGAGGGGATATCAGGACAAGGCCATGAGTTGAGGCTTGGAACCTAGGGCAGCTTAGGGGTTCTTAGCTGATCTGGTTTCCCCTTGGGTTTTGTTTCGTTTTGTTTTGTGAGTGCATGTGTTTAGAAATGGTGTCTTAAGGCTGGGCGCGGTGGCTCATGCCTGTAATCCCAGCACTTTGGGAGGCTGAGGTGGGTGGATCACCTGAAGTCAGGAGTTCAAGACCAGCCTGCCCAACATGGCAAAACCCCGTCTGTACTAAAAACACAAAAAAGTAACGGGGCATGGTGGCAGGTGCCTGTAATCCCAGCTACTCTGGAGCCTGAGACAGGAGAGTTGCTTGAACCCAGGAGGCAGAGGTTGCAGCGAGCTGAGATCATGCCACTACACTTCAGCCTGGGCGATAAGAGTGAAACTCTGTCTCAAAAAAATTAAAAAAGAAAGAAATGGGGTCTTGCTATGTTGCCCAGGCTGGCCTTGAGCTCCTGGGCTCAAGCAATCTTCCCACCTCAGCCTCCCGAGTAGCTGGGACTGGAGTGTGTTTTTTGCTTTTAAATAAGATCAGATTGGAAAGAATTCTTGGTGATTCTTTTCCTTATTTCATGATTTGTTTTGTAATGGCCTTTTCTTGCCCACCCACCCTCACCTCATTTTACAAAGGGCAACACTGAGACCCAGAGAAGGGAAGAGAGTCATACGCGAAGGGAATGTGGCTACATCTCCATAGACCAAGCATGGAAGGGTTTGAGGGTGTCTATGGCTTAATCTGTGCCCGAGGCTGGGCTGTCAGGACCAGGACCTCATAAGGCACCTGCCCCCTGCCACTGGCCACCTGAGAGGCCCCTGAACCAGTTATTTTGGGAGTGCCATCTGAATAAGATGCAGAAATATGCCGTTGTGTTCACGAAGATCAGCAGTAGTTCCTTCTGAATCTTTTCAGGGTATTTTGGCTGGGTTTTTCTTAATTATCCAGATTAGCATTAGGTAAATTCCCACATGTAAAGGTGTCTCATCTTCTGAAACTAGTTGTCGTTTCAAGCCAACCACACATGGAAGTGGGCGTGTGGCTGACTTGCCCCCTAGACAATGAATAGGCAGAGGACACTGAGGCCCAGCCAGCCCCATCCAGCCCCACCCTTCAGCCTATGAAGTCATTTCTCACAGCATAAACAACGCAGGCTCTGCACATGCAACTCTCTCCTTAGTGTTCAAGTACAGCATTTGTTTCCATGATGACTCGGGACCCCAGTGATTATTTCTCTCTCCACAATGTGGCTGGTTCCAGATGCTGTTGCGGGGCATGCTTGGGGCCACTGCGTGGGGCCTCTGAAGGAAGGCAGGAGAAAGGGATGTGCATGAATCAAGCCATGAGTCTGGGCACCACTGGCCCGTCCACCATCCGGGGAAGCTTCCCATGAGGAGGACGCGCCACCGAGGGCACGGCCGCCTCTCCCACCCGAGGCCTTCACTCTGCCCTGTCTTCCCCCGGCACCCCTTTCTCACGTCTCTGCCCAGCCAAATCCTGTCATGGTCAGAGGCCGGCTGCAGCGCCACCTCAGTGAAGCCTTGGGGGAAACCATGCCATCCCAGTGAGGGGCACGGTAAGGATGCCACAGTCACCCCACCCTCAGGGCCACCTCATCCCAGCACTGGCACTGGCACTGTCCTCTGTGACCCCCAGCACTTCACACATTTGTATGCTTTGCTTCAGAACAGCAAACACTAAAGTTGCAGAACTTTATTGAAAAATGAAAAGAAAACTGTGTGATTTATATAGACACATATATGGATGTTTGGGAATATGTGTGTATACATATATATAGAGAGAGTATATAAATAAATTTATATATATATATATATATATATGTTTTTTTTGGTTTTTTTGGTTTTTTTTTGAGACAGGGTCTTTCTCTGTTACCCAGGCTGGAGTGCAGTGGCGCAATCTCGGCTCACTGCAACCTCCGTCTCCTGGGTTCAAGCAATTATCCTGCCTTAGCCTCTTGAGTAGCTAGGATTACAGGTGTTGGCCACCACGCCTGGCTAATCTTTTGTATTTTTAGTAGAGGTGGGGTTTCACCATGTTGCCCAGGCTGGTCTCAAACTCCTGACCCCAAGCAATCTGCTTGCCTCAGCCTCCCAAAGTGCTGGGATTACAGGCGTGAGCCACTGCACCCGGCCTATATTTACATATTATATATTACATAATATAAATATATAAATGTTTATATATTCTATATTACATAATATAAATTTATAAATGTCTATATAAAGAAATATGTCTTTGCATATTCATAGGAAGAAATCTGGAAGAATACACACCAAACTGTTCCTCTTGCTTATCTCTGGCAAGTTAGTTTTGCTTTCATACAAAGTAGTGTTTGAATTTGTTACAGGAATGTATGAAGTTTTTAAGCTCTTAGCCAATATTTCTGAAGAAGAAAAGTGTCCTGGATATTCATCTGTCTTCTCTCTTGCTGGACAGAGTGAACCTGTGTCTGTCCTCTAGGCTGGGGCACAGAGCAGAGTGGGCAGATGTTTGCGAGATGAATTACAGAGAGTGCAAGGATGAGGCCCAACTGCCTCCAGTGAGGCCCGGGAGTGATGGCTTCTCACTGCTGCCCTGCAGTGCCTGGACTCACGCTTAAGGAGTGCTGCCTAAAGGTTTATTGAATGAAGAAGGAAGGAAGGAGGGAGGGAGGGCAAGAGGGCAGGGAAAGAAGGAAGGGAGGAAGGAAGGGAGGGAGGAAAAGAGGGAGAGAAGGAAAGCATAAAGGGAGGCAGGGAAGGAGGGAGGGAAGGAGAAAGAGAAGAAGGGAGGAAAGAAGGGGTATGAGTGATCATAAACCCTGAATTTGTGTGTCTGAATTAATGATTGTTTAATGTATAAATGTGCGAATCTAATGAAACACTGAAATAGAGGGTACCAACTGGATGGATCGTGCAAATATTTTATTACTAGGTGTACAATTGTTTTCATTATAAAGTAACAGAACTGTATTCCAAAAGTATGAAAAATAGGCCGGGCACGGTGGCTCATGGCTGTAATCCCAGCACTTTGGGAGGCCGAGGCAAGTGGATCACCTAAGGTCAGGAGTTCGAGACCAGCCTGGCCAACATGGTGAAATCCCATCTCTACTAAAAATATGAAAAAAGTTAGCCAGGAGTGGTGGCGGGCACCTGTAGTCTCAGCCACTCGGGAGTCTGAGGCAGGAGAATCGCTTGAACCTGGGAGGCAGAGGTTGCAGTGAGCCGAGATGGCACCACTGCACTCCAGCCTGGGCAACAGAGCAAGACTCTGTCTCAAATTTAAAAAAAAATAGAAAAGAAAACTTCATCGCTACATCACTCTAACAAATCCCCTATTTGTATTTTCATGCATTTCCTTCCGAGTATGTGAATGTGAGCACATATATCTTCTCGACATGTTACACAGGGGGCTGCTAACACCATTTTATATCATGCTTCTGTTGTAACTTCCTGTCATATCCTAAGCCTTTTCTCATCCCGTTATAAAGTCCCCAACCGCTTATAAGTGCTGTCAACTACATTAAGAGGACGTATATAACTTACTTAACCAATTTTCTCTTTTTATATTGAGGTAACCTCTCATTTTTTGTTATTATAGCATTTATTATTTTTTAAACTACTAGCTTTTGCCTAATGCCTTCATAATTTTCCCTGGGTACCACTCAGAGATGCTTGGACACCTCAGGTTAGTGTCCCCAGAAGCAGCCTGAAAGTAGCTGGGCCACAAACTTTGTTACCAGGAGTTAAGCAGCTTTTGCCCCAGAGAGTACATCAGTGCCCTGCTTCCTTTATTGAGAAAGGCTTGCTATGGAAAAAGTCAGCAGGACTAAATAGCCTGCTGAGTGACAGTAATGTACATCCCAGTGCGAGCTGCTTATTCCTCTTCATGGACATCTAACCAAGAGTTTGCAGAGCAGCACAGGTTTGCAGGTGACATTTTGAGCAGCACTTGTCTACAGAGCTTCCGTAGGCACAACTGGTTCACTGTGGAAGGTTTACACCTGGGTGGATTCATGGTTGGAGTTTGGAAGAGAATAAAGTCCCTGCCATGAGCCTGGCACTGTGCCATGGCCTTCCCGTGTTCAGCGCTCAAAGGGTGCCCCTCTCACAGCTGGGGCGTGCTGCTCTCGCGTTCTTGAGCATTTGCCTCATGTCCTTCCCAGGTGCTCCGGCTCCTGTCCGGGCTGCAGATCTCCTGTGCATGGCCGCGTGTGAGTACGCACGGCCAGGGCTGCCCCTAGAAACAAGGAGAACCAGAGCCGCTCAATTAGAGGGGCCACCATGATCATTGTACTGTTTGCATCTTTCATAGACTCCTTAGGGTATTGCTAAAAAGAGTAATTTTACAATTGAATTTCAATTATTCTCAGAAAACAGGAATAAGACCCCTCCATGAAAGAAGGATTGTAAGGATTTTTAAGCTGAAATGTAATGTGCTCAGGTCTGCATTTTAGAAGGAGCAAACTAACTACTGTATGGAGAATAGATCAGAGAGTTTGAGACGAGGTGAGGACTCCAGTGGGGACGTCAGAACTGGAGGTCCCAGAAAGGTCAGTGGTGGCAGTAGTAGGTATGAATTTTAGCCCCAATTCTTCTACCTCCCTGCATCCACACTCTGGCTGTACGAGACTTTGGGCTTGGTCTTGTGACTTACTTTGATCAATGGAATGGGGCAAACGAGTCTTGATATCAGGTCTGAAAGTTGACGGTAAGAGACCTCACGTATTTCTACTTTTCCTCTCATGCATCTGCCATCACCATGAGAAGAACCTGTCCAGCTTGCCCGTGGACCCTAGGAGGATGAGGGATATGTACAGCAGAGATGCCCACCAGCTTGCCAACCCCTGAGTGAGCCCAGCCAAGGTCAGTAGAGCCCCAGGCCCTGAGAAGGAATGCCTGTGGTTGCAGACCACTGAGATTCTGGGGCTGTTTGTTATGCAGTATTGCTGCGGCAATGGGCAACTGATACAGTGGGCGTGGAAAGAAATTAACAAAGCCAAGAAATACTTAAGAAAGCAAATGGAGTTGGTGGCCAGTCGAATGAGTGGGTGAGACTGAGAGAACCTCAGAGAACTTGGTTTGGCTCAGGTACCTGGGTGGTTGAAGGGCACAGTGCCTGTGGTAAAGGAAACAGAGGAGGAGACGTGGCCGCCCACATTAGACCTACATTAAGAGCACTCTCTCCTTCCCCCTACCCTTTCTTCTTTTTTCTGAAGGAGGGCAGGGCCTGTGTCTGTTGAGATAAGCTCCGCAGGGACGGAACCACTGTGTGGGATTATAGGCACCCCTGCCACAGTCAGCCACCCCCATGGCCTCCGGCTCTGTCAGAGCTTCTCCTCCGGTACAGACTCATTAGAGCAACCCCTGATGTGGACAAGGGGGTGAGCCAGACTTCCCGGCCACAGGGGCCAACTCAAGAAAGGCCCCCAGATTTCCCAGGGCCTCCTGCAGAAAACGCAGCCTGCATCTCGTTACTTTCATTTGCTTAAAATACCTGCCTTTGCAGCAGTGAAACCACCCAAAATACTCACTTCTTTATTTCCAGCTAGATAAGTTGAACTCAATTTGCATTGGATAATTATTTTCAATTAAGTGATAACAATCCTGTTTGGTGCAAAAATAATCTTGTCCAAAGGCCAAACAGTTTATCCCATCCAAGAAACAGGAGGCAGTGATAGGAGGAGGCCTATTAGCATGCTTGCCATGAGGATGGAGGGGCCAATCCCCACCCCTGGAGGGATGCCCCAGCCAAGTCGTTCGTGGGGGACCTCTGACACTGTGGGCGGGTGGGACCATTGACCTGGTTTGCCCTTTGACAGCCCCTGAGCCGTGCAGCCACTCTTTCTTCTTTCTGGACAAAGAAGGAGGCACCTCCTGACAGCTGCAAGGTAGTGGAAAAGGCAGCTGGTCAGAGAAGGGCCCAAGACAGAGGCCCGGACCTGAGTTCTGGGCCAGCTGTGTGTCCCTGGACAAGTCATCCCTCTCTGGGCCTCAGTGTCCCCTCTGTGTGGGGAGCAGTGGGGTTAGATGTGGAGAGTTCCAGCTCAGATGTGATTCTGTCCTGGTCATCCAGAGCTACCTAGGTCTGAAGCCAGGTTTTCTGTAGGGAAAAGCCCCACTTCCTGTGTGATGTGTGCGTTATCAGGGCAGGAATTCTCCTCCATCAGGAAGAGGGAGCAGGTGCTGAGTTCTGGAGCCTTACAGGGGCCCTGCCACTCTCCTGGTCTTATGGCAATGTCACATTCTCTACAGGCAGCTGGAGTTCCTTACTTTCCTCCACAGCCTTCCCTACTGTTGCACATCTGGGCAAACACCCTCCCCACCAATCAAGCTGCCGTGAACATCTTGTTCAAGGCTGCTGGTGTATTCGAGAGCAGACCCTGTCTCAAAAACACAAAAAAGAGAAAAACAACCTGCCTGCCAATCTTTCTATTGTTATTTACATTGAAAAACATGAGGATCGAGGTGGTTCAAACAAATAACTCTTGTGAATTTTTGCAGCCAATACTTCAAATGTTTGATACTTGAGTACCCTGTGCTGTGTGCTCTCTGTGTATTCACTGACGTGCAGTCCTCCCCCAGCACGAGAACTAAAACTCTTGTCACTTATAGACAAGAAAACCGAGGCTCAGAGAGGCTAAATAATTTGCTCAAGTCACACAGAGTGGAATTCTGACTTTTTGTTGGTTTCAATTGACTTCCACTCTGCATTTTTTTCCTTCCTTCCTTCCTTCCTTCCTTCCTTCCTTTCCTCCCCCCTCTCTCCTTCCTTCCCTCCCTCCCTCCTTCCCTCCCTCCCTCCTTCCCTCCCTCCCTCCTTCCCTCCTTCCCTCCCTCCCTTGTTTACTTCCTTCCTTTTTTTTTGGTCTTGACCTCCTAGCCTCAAGCGATCCTCACCTGGGCCTCCCACGGTGCTGGGATAACAGGTGTAAGCCACCGTGCCCTGTTGTTCTGCATTATTTTCTCTACTCAATGATGGCAGTGGCCCTTATACTTCTCTGGCACACACTGTACCCTCAGCCAAGCCGAACTGAGAAGCTGGACAGGAGGAGGGAAAGAAGAAACCATCTGAGCTGCCATATCTCTTAAGTACAGTTTTCTGTATTCAAATTAGGTGACACAATCTCCATGAATAACATTACAGTTCCCAAAGGATCACACCCAATTTAAATGTATAAGAGGCCATTAACGGGCAGGGCTAGCTATTAGAATTTAGCTCCAGTGTCATTGTGGTGTGGTTCTGCTATTAGGCAGGCACAATGGGGATAATAGAAGCGCGAGGCACATTCGCCCCTGGTCTCCAAGGCTCTGGGTCCTCAGACTGGCTGAGTGCTGGGGACCAGGGTCACCGAAGAAGCCCTGACTGGCCCTCTTGAGGGTTAGCAGAGCTTCTCTCTGTCCAAGACAGGTCAGGCCCTCTTCCCTGGTCCCAGCTCCACCGCCACTCAGAGGAGTGACCTAAGCTGCAGGTGAGGCTCCCAAGCCCCTGACCGGGATGTTTATGGAAGAGGATTGGGATCAGCACCTGGGCAAAGTGGGTAGAGGCAGGAGCAGACAAATGGGAAAGGCTAGCTGCCATGCGGGCTGAACAACAATGGGGCCAACCTCAGGGGGACCCCTGGAAGCCAGAATGTCCTTTCAAAAGTTCTGAATATGGGCTGGGTGTGGTGGCTGATGCCTGTAATAATCCCAATACTTTGGGAGGCCAAGGCAGGTGGAATCACTTGAGGTCAGGAGTTCGAGACCAGCCTGGCCAACATGGTGAAACCCCGCCTCTACCAAAAAATACGAAAATTAGCCGGGCATGGTGGCATGCACCTGTAATCCCAGCTCCTCGGGAGACTGAGGTGGGAGAATCACTTGAACCGGGAGGCAGAGGTTGTAGTGAGCCAAGATCGCACCACTACACTCCAGCCTGGGCGACAGGGCAAGGCTTTGTCTCAAAAAAAAAACAAAAAGAAAGTTCTGAATGTGGAGTTTCATGCAGAGATGGCCAGGCCTTTGTACCCCCATGCAGTCATTGGCTGGATGTGGGCTGCCCAGGGAAGGGTATGACCTCGGGCTGGGTGAATCTCAGCAGCTGAGGCTGTCCTGCAGGGCTAGTCACTTAAGGCCGTATGCTGACTGCCTGCCCAGCTGCTGGGCAGCACGTCCTTCTTGGAAGGGGACCTGGGCAGGCGGCAATGACTTTTGCCCACCAGGGCTGTGGCCTTGTCAGTCCTTGGGATGGCATAGACCATGCCTCAGTGGCTCCAGGGGAGAAAGAGACCATCTACTTGAATCATTTAGCTCAGGGCACAGCACACAAATAAGAGCTCAAAAAATGTCAACCACTCTTGTTATCACCATCCTGACCCAAATCACAGGATGACCCTCTCCACTCTTCTCCCTCATCCTTGCACCCCTCCCTAGCGTCCAGCAGGTGTCCAAGCCTCACTTGCACACCTCCACTAGTGGACAGGCCACTACGTCCCAAGGCAGCCCAAGTCACTGTTGAAGAGCTTTTTTTTTTTTTTTTTTACTATGGTAAAATGTATATAACCTACATTTTACCACTTTAATCATTTTTAAGTGTACAGTTCAGTGGCATTAAGCACATTCACATTGTTGTACAACTATCAGCACCATCCATTTCCAGAACTTTTTTCCCAGACTGATACTGTTTACCAATTAAACAATATTCCCTCATTCCTCCTCTCCCCTGAACCCCTGGCAACCACCACTCCCCTTTCTGTCTCTATGAATTGGACTGCTATCGGCATCTCATATGAGTAGAATCATATTTTTTTTTCCTTGTGTCTGGCTTATTTCACTTAGCATAATGTCCTCAAGTTCATCCTTGTGACAGCATATGTCTGGATTCCCATCTTTCTTTAAGGCTCAATAATATTCCATTGCTTGTATACACCACATTTTGCTTATCCATTTATCTGGCCGTGGATGGATACTTGGGTGGCTTCCGCCTTGTGGCTATTGTGAGTGATGCTGCTGTGAACGCTGGTGTACAAGTGCCTATGTAAAACCTGCTTTCAGCAGGGCGCAGTGGCTCATGCCTGTAATCCCAGCACTCTGGGAGGCTGAGGTGGGCGGATCACTAGAGGTCAGGAGTTTGAGACCAGCCTGGCCAACATGGTGAAACCCTACCTCTACTAAAAATACAAAAATTAGCAGGGCATGGTGGCACGCTCCTGTAATCCCAGCTACTCGAGAGGCTTAGGCAGGAGAGTCGCTTGAACCTGGGAGACGGAGGCTGCAGGGAGCCAAGATCATCATGCCACTGCATGCCAGCCTGGGCGACAGAGTGAGACTCTGTGTGTATGTATGTGTGTGTGTGTGTGTGTGTGTATGTGTGTGTGTGTGTGTGTATATATATATATGTATGTGTGTGTGTATATATATATATATATAAAAACAAACCCTGCTTTAATTTTTTCTTTTTTTTGATAAGGTCTCGCGCTGTCACCCAGGTTGGAGAAGGTGCAATCATAGCTCACTGCAGCCTCGATCTCCTGGGCTCAAGCAATCTTCCCACCTCAGCTTCCTGACTAGCTGGGACTACAGGTGGGCACCACTACACCCAGCTAATCTTTTTATTTCTTGTAGAGACAAGCTGTGTTGCCCAGGCTTGTCTCGAACTCCTGGCTTTAAGTGATTCTCCCACCTCAGCCTCCCAAAAATGTTGGGATTACAGGAATGAGCCACGCCAGCCACTGCTTTCAATAATTTGGGGTATGCAGAAGTGGAGCCACTGGATCATATGGTAGTTCTACATTGAATTTTTTGAGGAACTGCCATCTGGTTTCCCACAGTGGCTGCACCATGTTTGTTGAGCAGCTCTGAGAGAAAACGTGCTCTTCCATCACGCTGCATTCCCATGACTTCCTCACTGGCCCTTGGCTTTGCCCCAGGGACAGCCCTGCTGAGTCTTTTTTTTGTTTTGTTTTGTTTTGTTTTGTTTTTGAGACAAGGTCTAACTCTGTTGCCCAGGCTAGAGTGCAGTGGTGCGATCACAGCTCACAGCAGCCTCAAACGCCTGGGCTCAAGCAATCCTCCCACCTCAGCCTCCTGAGTAGCTGAGACCACAGCTGAGTGCCACCACACCCAGCTATGGTTTTTTTGTAGAGATGGGGTCTCACTATGTTGTTCATGCTGGTCTTGAACTCCTGTACTCAGGCAATCTGAACACTTTGGCCTCCCAAAATTCTGGGATTACAGGTGTGAGCCCCATGCCCAGCCTCTGTTGAGTCTTTATGCCAACACAGGAGCCCCGCTGAGCCCTCTGCTCTGGGCAGGTTCGCCCACTCCAGTGCCCAGTGCCCCACTCTCACTGCCCACTTCACATAAGTGCAGTGGCGTTTTCTCTTGAGGAACCCCACCAGGGGGAGCAGTAAAGGGGTCTCAGAGTCAGGAACAAGCTCTCCTGGCACTTGGAAGGAAACCCAGGCCCCTGCCCACACTCCTCTCCAGCGGGGCCCTCCTCTGCCACCTCCTCCCACTTCCCCCAGCCTTCCTGCTCCTCTCCTCTCCTCTCCTCAGGGCATCACGCCACCAACAGGAGAAAGTAATCTGTGACCAGGAGTACTCTCCTCAGAAACTCTGAAGGCACTTGGCATGCTTGAAGAAGTGACACAGACTTAAAGTTGTCACTTTGCTCAGTTTACCAGATCAGACCAAAAGTTGCTTTGATATTCAAAGATCTTTAAAAGTGTCTAACTTCAATTCTTTTTTTGTTGGTTTTTGTTTGTTTTTGTTTTTGAGTCTCACTCTGCTGCCCAGGAGTGCAGTGGTGGGATCTCAGCTCACTGCAGCCTCTGCCTTTCTCCTGCCTCAGCCTCCAGAGTAGCTGGGATTACAGGTGCATACCACCACACCCAGCTAATTTTTGTATTTTTAGTAGAGACAGGGTTTCACTGTGTTGGCCAGGCTAGTCTCGAACTCCTGACCTCAATGATCCTCCTGCCTCAGCCTCCCAAAGTGCTGGGATTACAGGTGTGAGCCACCATGCCCAGCCCTAACTCAGTTCTTAAAGGGATTAAGACTATGTCTCTTCACCATTTCTGAAGGCTTCTGACTTTACTGTCCTGAGACATTTCTACCTTTATTAAATCCTCCCCATGGGATGGTGGTGGTGGGAGGAGGGACATCACCACCAACAACAAAGAAAATAAGACATCCAGGTGCGGTGGCTCACACCTATAATCCCAGCACTTTGGGAGGCCAAGGTGGGTGGATCATGAGGTCAAGAGTTCAAGACCAGCCTGGCCAACATGGTGAAACTCCATCTCTATTAAAAATACAAAAATTCGCTGGGCGTGGTGGCGCATGCCTATAGTCCCAGCTGCTTAGGAGGCTGAGACAGGAGAATCACTTGAACCCCGGAGGCAGAGGTTGCAGTGAGCCGAGATCAGGCCATTGCACTCCAGCCTGGGGGACGGAGCGAAACTGTGACTCAAAAAAAAAAAGAAAGAAAATAAGACAAAAATCACATTTTAGTGGAAAACAAGTGACCGCTCTGCACAGCTCTTCAGCTCCTCAACACCTCCCAAGGCAGCTGTGCCAGGTGCTGAGTCCACGTATTTTTCACCCCATGCTTCTCACACTGGGACAGTGCACTTTCAGCAGCACTGGCAACCACACAAAACCCACTCACGGGCTCTGCCCACAGCAGGCTGCAAGGCACCAGCTTTCCTGGCTGAGTGCAAGTTGGGCCCTGGGAGCAAGTGCCTCCTGAAACTTCTCACCCTGAGGGCAGCGTGCCTCACCCTAGCCCCAGCCCAGAGCCTCAACCTTGCTGGAAAGGTTTAGCATCCGCTAGGAGGAATATTAGGCCCAACTCAGGAGAAGTAAGTTCTAGTTCTGGCTTTGCCACCAAATGTGGACTCTCATCCTCACTCTCCCCATTTAGAAACCCACAGGTTAGAAGTGATTATTTCCAAGGCCGGGTGCAGAGGCTCACGCTTGTAATCCCAGCACTTTGGGAAGCTGAGGCAGGTGGATCACTTGAAATCAGGAGTTTGACACCAGCCTGGCCAACATGGTGAAACCCCATCTCTACTAAAAATACAAAAAGTAGCCAGACATGGTAGCAGACACCTGTAATCCCAGCTACTCAGGAGGCTGAGGCTAGAGGATCACTTAAGCCCGAGAAGTTGAAGCTGTGATTAGCCATGATCACACCACTGCACTCCAACCTGGGTGACAGAGTGAGACCCTGTCTCAAAAAAAACCCCCAAAAAACCCAAACCAAAACACACACAAAAAAAGAACATCACAGGAAATATGGAAAGGAAAAGAGAAAAATGAAAAATGTAATTACCCCCATTCATCCCTTAATACCATCCCTGAGCTATTTGGTAGGTTTCCCTCCAGAATTTTCCCTGGTGTGAGGGGCACGGGCTACTGCTGTGCATCTCCTCTCCGTGGTGCGTGGTGAAAGTCATGCTGTTCATGGACACGTCTGCCCTGCTATCTCCACATGCTTCCCTCTCCAGGCTCAACAGTACCTCCGTCTCCATCAGCTATTGCTACATAACAATCCAACAGTCAACATTCAGCGGGTTAAAATACCAAGATTTGGCCAGGTGCGGTGGCTCACGCCTGTAATCCCAGCACTTTGGGAGGCCAAGGCAAGCGGATCACTTGAGGTCAGGAGTTCGACTCCAGCCTGGACAACATGGTGAAACCCCGCCTCTACTACAAATACAAAAAATTAGCCAGGCATGGTGGCAGGTACCTGTAATCCCAGCTACTCAGGAGGCTGAGGCAGGAGAATCGCTTGAACCTGGGAGGCAGAGGTTGCAGTGAGCTGAGATTGAGCCACTGCACTCCAGCCTGGGCAACAGAGCAGTCTCTATCTCAAAAAAGTAATTAATTAATTAAAAATAAAAAAACAAGATTTATTATTGCCCAAGAGTCTATGGTCGGGGAACAGCCCTGCTGGTCTGAGCCTGGCTCAGCTAGTTTTGTTTATGCATCTGTGATCAGTTGCTGGGTCCCCTGGCTGGTCTAAGGGGGCGATGTTCACATGTCTTGGCTGGCTGGTCATGGCCTGGGCAACTGGGGTGACACAGCGTCTCACCCTCCGTCACATTCTACTGGTCAAAGTAAGTCGTAAGACCGGCCCAGAGTCACAGTGGCAGGGACTACAAATTTCAGGGTCAAGGGCACGCATACATGGAAGCCAGTAATCTTAGTGTCAACCACTACTCTTAATCTACCATAATCCTTAATTTTCATAGCTGCCATTTTTGGTAACAATACAATTTTTCATAGATGTACATTTCATAGATTACCATTAAATAGGATGTACCACATTTTAATTTGTTTGAAAGTTTTCTCTTATAACACTTGTGTGAACAACTTTGGTGGAGCCTTCACCTTTGAGATCAGGAAAAGCAGCATTTCCCACTCTAAATCAGAAACCCAAGGTTAAGTGAGAAAATTGAGCCCAAGTGTCCCAAAGGCCCTTTAGAAGCAGCGCCACCTGCAGACCTTCCCGAGTTCCTCACCTGACCGAATTCAAAGGTGTCAGACCAGGAGTCTCAGACCAACTTGAGTCTAGCTATTGAAATCACTTTCAGTGTCACTTTCCCTCTCTAGGCTTCAGTTTCTCCATCTATAAAATTGCAGGGTTGGACTAGAACAGTCTTTCTTAAAGGATGTCACTCTGGTCTAAAAGCCAAAAAGATGCCAGTGACTGCCTTCTTGAAAGTATTTTTATTGACTGATTGATTCATTGATTGAGACAGAGTCTTGCTCTGTCGCCCAGGCTGGAGTGCAGTGGTGAGAACTCAGCTCACTGCAACCTCTGCCTCCCAGGTTTAAGCGATCCTCGTGCCTCAGCCTCCCAAGTAACTGGGATTACAGACACGTGCCACCACACCTGGCTAATTTTTTGTATTTTTGGTGGAGATGGGGTTGCACCGTGTTGGCCAGGCTGGCCTTGAATTTCCGACCTCAAGTGATTCTCCCACCTCGGCCTCCCAAAGTGCTGGGATTACAGGTGCCCTCCCACCTGGCCTATTTATTTTGAGACAGGGTCTCACTCTGTCACCCAGGCTGGAGTGCAGTGGTGCAATCAGGGCTCACTGCAGCCTTGACCTCCTGGGGCTCAAGCAATCCTTCCACCTCAGCCTTTCAAGTAGCTGGGGCTATAGGCAAGCACTGCCATACCTGGCTAATTTATTTTTATTCTTTCTGTATTTGTGGAGACGGGTTTTCACCATGTTGCCCAGTCTTGAACTACTTGGTTCAAGTACTCCTTCTGCCTTGGCCTCTCAAAGTGTTAAGATTACAGGTGTGAGCCATCGCGCCTGGCCTGAAAGTATTTTTAAATGCATAAGAAAAATACAAAGCAGTTCCATATCATTCCAACTGCTTAGCAGTGACCCACCTTTTAGAAATGGTGTCGTGCTAGGAGCAGGGGGCGCGGCATGAGAGGCTGCCCATCTGGCGCCTATGAGGGTGATGTCAGATTCGGGAATCCAGGCA